TTTGACACTGGATCCCCAGGTCGTCGACACAATTGAGGAGATTTGCAACGAACAAGTAAAATGTCAAAAGTGCTGGTACAGTTATATAGTCATTTGGTGTTGGCGCTAATTGGAATGTGTCTGAAGTCGTTGAAAGGCACTTGCGGAAAAACCAAATAAAAGTGTCCCACAAGCTGATGGCTAATTTACGCAACCAGCTTGTACATCCTAAGGATAGGGTTGTCTAGTTCCATAAGAAAAAAAGTCGCTTACAAGATCCTATGTGAAGCTTGTGACACCGTATATTGTGGTCAGACAAGAATAGCCGTCTCCACACGCACCAAAGCGCACCAACTGGCAGTGAAGGGACGTGACCATTTGTCCGAAGAGGCTATGCTTTGCCTTGATATGGGCCAAACCTTTGCATAGGGCAGAATACACACTGTCGGAGTTTGCTCCTCCAAAAAGGCCGGGAAATTCTTGAGAACATGCACTCCGATGATTCATGCATCAACCGACGTATCGAGTTGGAGATAGTGTACAAACATCTCAAAGAAAGCTTTAAGAAACAACAGTCGATCACTACGGTCTAACATTAACCGCAACTACTGATTATCACCCACACCGGATGACCCGGACTGACCCGGGACTGACGCAAGTTACAGTTGCCAATTAGCGCCCACACCAGATGACTGTATAACTGTACCAGCACTTTTGAAATTTTAAGTGTTTGTTGGTCATCTTCCAAACTCTGAAGAGTACCTGGGGATCCAGTGTCGAAAATTCACTGAATAAACTTAGATTGTTTTCCCAAAGAACACCTTTCCTTGGGATAATTTATGTTTTCGAAAAAAATCACCGTTGGTTTGCAAAAAAAAAAACCAGCAAGTGCTCGGCTTGTATAAAGGCAGCTTACCGTTCGGGGCCGATGGACGTTGGTGGCATTTTATGGAATTCTGGTGCCGCATGCGCGATGACGATGGGGGTTTCTGTGAGGGCTTGGAACGTTGGTGTGAGCGGTCGCCTAAGTCGTTATAAGATTGAGGCGAATCTTCCGGTGGAGAGGTCTGTAAAGAAAAAAATGTTTGTAACCACAATCTGCCCTCGGTAGGTATGGGATTTCTAACATGCTGAGTCTCTACTTAGATCATGAAAATAACTTCTGCGAAAATTTGCCTGTAACTCAAAACAAATAGGCCTTGTGGACTTGCGAAAAGTTGAGTAAGCATCTCACTGAAAATGTGAGAGTTGACAAAATGGCAACTCGAAGACTATCAAGTAATATTTCTGGGAAATCTTTAACTGCGACCTGGCGAATAGTTGACTAAATTGACAGACTTGAACAGTTATCAAGAAGACTAGGACGCTAGGCTTTAGGCGTGGAAAAGGCCATCTTTGTTCTAATTTTGGCCAATGAAAGGCCTGTAGACGTTGAAGCCTAACGTGAAATTTAGTAGAGTCATTTCAAAGTTAATCACGGCTATTGGTGCAAATGGTTACCAGCAATCAGTCATTAAGAGCCTACTTGACCATCTGATTTTGACAGTGATAATTTGTTCTGCAATAATTATCATTGAACAGCTCAAAAGTTTGAGCTAAACATTCATTTTTGTTTCTTTCCTAAAGCTTTATAGCGCCTAGACGGCGTTTCTGAACAGAATTCATTTCTACTGGTGTCTTTCGGCGTCTTTTTCAAAACGGAACTAGACCTGATGGTTCTAGTGTCCTGAGTAAAAGCACTCCTTAGGTCCTACAGCTTCTGTCTTTATGAAAAGGCGAGAAAATTAGTCGACCGTCATCTTGTGTATGTTCATTCAAACGGCTGGAGACGGCGACACTGGAGCGCGAACTTTCGAAAAGAGCGCTTTAGCAGGGTAGTCATAACGTCTCAAATGTTTTCCCAAAGGAGATGTAAAAGGAGGATTTTCTTTAGAACTTTTGAGGTAAATAACTTGAATAATGTTTTTCGTAAATTGCTTGCAAAATGTTATGGACAATTATCTGTAAGTTAAACCGCAGAGTTAGTCTTCGAGAAGTTTTAATTTTCTAAAAGTCCGCTTATGATTTATACAGCGTTCCAGAATGAAAATGTTCTAACCGTTATCAATGTGAATACTTTATAGTGCAAGTTTGAGAAAATTCAGGACAATAAGGCTTCTGCTGCCCAAATGCAAGTGAACTATGTGGATAAAATGAAATAGGACTATCCTGCATACCCGCGGATTACTTTAACCTGGTGACCAAAGTGTCCATAGATCGCACGCAGGGAAAATGAATGCATATTTTAACGACTTTCAAAGTCGGCAAGCAAATCCATAAGAACATGAATTTCACACATTTTTTTGGCCTTTGGGTACTTGACTGGCATAAAATGACCATCTCGAGTTCCAGTATATGTCTGTAGAGTACTGATTTAGATCACGGGAGACAGCCTGCCTGTCTAGGGCGTCATCGAGTCGGCGCAGAGAATATAGTGGTGCCGATATATTCGTCGTGATATTTGTTTTAGATTGCTCGGTAAAAATGACTTATATGGCCACTTAAACAAGGCATGAGAACAGGACCTCCCAGTAAAACTGGTGCCCTCACGCCAAGTTCCAGGAAGATTAGTGTCAGGCCAAGGTTAGCATTAAGCGATATTGGGGTTAAATTTAGGGTTTTGGTTATGGTTGATTTTAATTCCAGGGTCACCAGCTTGTAATGAATAAAGTTTAGGGCCTTCTCCCATGCCGAAGAGCCCTGATAAAGAGCGTTTAAGGAGGCTGCAGACGGAGGAGGGGGATAATACATAATCTAATCATGGCCGAAACAAGCAAAAATTCAACTCACAAGAAGCAGTTGAGGAGAGGTAGATGCAAGAACTTTATTTGCTTGACGATTCGGATTCATGGTCGTGGCCGCCATTTTATACATCATCTGATAAGAATCTTTAATACCCAATATTCATAGGATACAATCGCTATACTACTACATATTGATGCCATTTAACGGTTCCACCATCCACGACGGGGAGTCTATGGTACGATAATTGTTTGCGTTTCGAGTCAGTACTTGCGGCAATTGCATCATCAATGTTTGAATGGTGGCGTGATGATTGTTTGGCCGTCAGAATCATCGACATTAGAGTTGGAAACAGTGTTCGTTTGTATGGCCAATTACTTTACGCACACTAAGCCCTAGTCCCGAATTGGGGGTAGTAATTACTTCATCACCCCCATATTCGGTGCTTACACTTATTTTGGCTAAAGTAATTAGCTGCTCAGGGAGCGCGCAAACCGTGTCGGTGTGTCAGATGGCCGAGCGATCATCGCATCAACATCCCGAGGCGGATAATGAAATTGCCGCGATTACCGACACGAATGCCGGCCATCAAACAATTATCGCGCCGACATCCTCAAGAAAGGGGCGCGGAGGGGCTGGGCGCTAATTGTCAATATAACAGTTATGTGGGCAGGCCAGTTGGTCACCATGCGGAGTGAGCCCGTGCCAGCCTTAATAGTACGGGTAATGGTGCTGAGTCTGCAGTCCGCAATCGGTTAATTCTTCGGACGACAGCAAGTAATCGTTCGCCGATACATTTCTCTGGTACATAATACCGGATCTATAACACTCATGGGAGACTGGGAACACTATATTTGGGTTGAAATCCGTCAACCACTGCGAAATATCCACTTGCTGCCGACAGACAGACCTCTTAGCCTTTTAGCTAGTACCTAGGCTGGTAGTATGCTAAGTTACAACATCAATTTATAATATTAACGGCTGCCTGTCGGCAGCAAGGGGCTATTTCGCAGTGGCTGACGGCTTTCAACCCAAACATGCACTCATAATTTCCGTTTACGCCTATAGACCTTAAATACACTGATATATACCGCGAACATAAATTAATTTCTCAGGAAATTAAAAAGCTGAACTTTTAAAACTGGTATGTCAACCAGAAAGCAGACAGGGGAAGCTGGGGGACCCATTGATGAGCCATACCCCTCGCAGCTGTGTCAAGCAGCGGCAGAATACCGGTGAAACACGTATCTGGGCCTTTTAGCTACCATCTAGACTGTTAGTATGCTAAGTTACAACATCAAATTGAGAACACTAAGGTCACGTGTCAACCCTACCTCGTTCCGAAATTCAATCATTCAACGAGCTGCAGATTATTCTCCTGAAAACCCCTAGAAAGAAAGATCCTGAGTTTTTTTTAACTTACAGCTCGATTCATTACTGTATATGCCTTTTGAGCTTGCCTGTAAAGTGGCAATAAATAAATAAATTGGTCGCTAGCGATGCTCCGTGAGTTTGTTCTTTACGACGCTGTTAGTCTTTGTTTAACACTCAAGTTTCGCAGGAGGCGTTAGATTACCACTTCGTATGCAATCTACCTAATAAAGATCTCAGATCAAAGCCGCTCGCGGCCAGAAAACCACAGGTAAAGTCCAAAAGTCAGCAAGCAGCCGTCCTCAGAAGCACACCTCCAAAGACATAAAGGACTGAAGAACGAACAGTGCCCGGCTTACTCATTCCTTGTCCAGCAAGGCACACCCAGACAAATAATTGCTACCGGAGGTATACCAGTAAGCAGACATAAGCAGAGCACCTTATATATGGGTGGGTTAAACCGAAGGTTCGACCGTGCTGAAAATTCGACGTTCTATCAGTGACCCCTTCTAGTAGGTCTCTCTGAGGTAGATGTGAATTGCAGTCATTCTGGAATGGGCGTACAGTGAGCTAACTGGTGTCACACTTTAGTCTAGTTAGAGGGGATGGCACCCTAGTCAGAATGCTATGGATGTATACATACCTTTCTTCCAGGAAAGTTATCCCCTTGCAAAATCTTGGTTGTGCTTAATTCAGTGCTTTTACAGAAACTAACTCATTCCATTTGCATATAAATGCAGGAATACTCCATACAAGAACCGCAGAGCTGTAGCTAGATTGTGCCCGTGGCTTCCAAATAAGTTTCAAAAATAGATCAACTCAGTTAAACAACCCCTATCCGCAGAATGAATAAAAATCGTTGTTTACCGCATACCATGTGTCAGGCGCCTTTGTGTGTATTTTGGCCATACAGGCCGATGTCCCGAGATTCGCATAAATGAACATAAGTTAGCTGTTCGTTGACGGGACCCTTTATCACTCGTATTTGCGCACTCCCTTGAGTGTGACCACCACCTCAATTGGGATGGCACTGAGGTGGCCACCGTGGCTAACACAAGAAAATGCGAGAGAATTCC